AATCAACCAATTTCCCAAGAAACCCTGGTTCCTTTTAGTAGAGAATATTATTTAGAAGATGCTAAGGGGCCGGCCAAGTGACTCAGTTGGTTAAGAGCTTGCTCAAGACTGAGAGAGCTCTGAGCAACAGCAATTCAATTCCTGGCCCGAGCTGAGCTGCCGCTGAGCTGCCAACAAGTGGCAGGATGGCTCAGTAAAAAAAAAAAAAAAGATGCTAAATGAGTTCATTGCTATTGAAGTGTTGCTGCCCCTAGACCCTCAGCAAACAGAGATAAAAAGTGTGTGTGTGTTCACATCTCACATCTACATTTATTTCACACTAACACTCCTGATTCCATTTCAGCATCACAGAGACCATTCTAGTTTTCTTCCTTTCTTTGTTTCAGACAGTGAGAAACCTGGTTCCTGTGATCCTATTAATAATTTAATTATTTGACCAGTTACTCTGTATGTAACCAGTTGCTCTGTAAAGCTGCTGCCATGTCCTCTGCATGGATGCCCTCCTCATCATTCTATGGCTTCATCATCCCATGTGGAGCTGTCCACTGCCCCCACGTGTGAACACCTTGCTCAGCCCCCTGTATTGCTTTCCTATGTCTGGTTACACTTTCGAGCAGTAGCCCTCCTCACCCCACCAGGATTTTCTGAACGTCCTCTAGTGTTCATGCCTCCCTTATCCTCCTGGGCTCTAGCAGTCTATGCCAGGCTGTCCTTATAAATGGATGTCCTCTTCACCCTGCCCAGCTCTGACTGTCTTGTGCCAGTAGCTTCTTACCCAATGTGAACCCCATCTTCACCCTGCTTGGGCTCTAGTACTCCATGCTGGGTCTCCTTTTCATACGAATACTTTTCTCACCCTGCACAGGCTTTGATCCCCATACCAGGGCCACTTCCTTCACCATCCTCGCCCCTCTTAGTCTCATGATACCCTCTGTTGAGGAACCCCATTGTGTGAACTCCCTTACCTTGCTCAGGATCCAACACCTGATACAAAACAGCCTTGTATACATTATCCCTCTTCACACTACTTGGCCTCTGAAGCTCATGCCACGCTGCCCCATGTTTGGACCCCCTCCCTGGGCTCTGATTCCATGAATGCCCTCCCATGATGCTTGAGCTCTCTCTACCTAATGGCTTTAGGGCTGACTGAATTACCCAGGAAGGGAAACACTTCTACCTTTCTTTTGAGCTTATATTAGAAAAATTTTAGGTGTTTTCATTGTGTTATCTATACCTCTTAATATTTCTGATTAATCTTAATCTCTTATTTTTTAATCAACATTTTCTATGTATTTACCACTTCTTGCTGTATTCTGTATATTTTCTTGAGAGTTATGTTTACATTTGTTACTTCTCTCTTCACTTGAGTCTATTCTGAGTCTTTCTCTTAATTTACATTTGTTTTATGTCAATAATTATATTTTATTTCTAGAAGAATTTTTTCTTTTATAATACTGCCTCTTTATTTTTTTATAGGCTGTCTTTTTTCTTAGAGCTTTAAATTTCTTCTTTTGTCTCTTTAATAGTTTATAATAATTTAATATATGTGTGCTTTTTCAGTAAGTTTTTAGATTGTTCTCTTATCACTGTTCCTGGAGTACAGGTTCCTTTGTTTGTTCATGATTTATTATATTTTTTATTGTTTTGTAATCTTTTTTTGTTAGCATATTTGTCCCTGGAGTTATTTGCTTCTACAGAAATTCTGTGCAGTCTTAGTATGGAAGTGTCTTCCACAATGCTTTAAAAAACAGCCTTATTAAAGTATTATTGACATGTAACACACACACATGGATTGAAAGTGTGCAGTTTGATAAGTTTTGACATATGTATATACAAAAAAACCATCACTGCAATTAAAATAACGAACATGTCTACCTTTCTCAAATGTTTCTTCATTCCCCTTTATAATTTCACTCCGCCCTGTTCACAGACAACCACTGATCTGGTTCTGTTATTATAGATTAACTTGAATTTTCTAGAATTTTAGACAAATGGAATCATACAACATATATCCTTTTTAGTTTTTTCACTTGACAGAATTATTTCCAGAGTCATCCACATTGTGTGAACCAATAGTTTATTCCTTTTGACTGCTATCTTGTATCCCGTCATGTGGCTATACCACAATTTGTTTACCCATTCACTTGTTGGTAGACATGAGTTGCTTCCAATTTTTGGCTATTACAAATAAAATGGCACATGCAGAATTCTTTGTATAAACATATGCTCTTTTTTTCTCTTGGGTAAGACCTAGGAATGGATTAACTGGGTCATGTTGTCAGCATATGTTTGACTCTTTAAGAAATTGCCAAATTATTTTCCCTTGTACATTTCCAACAGCAGTGTATGAGTTCCAGTTGTTCTACATTCTTCTTAACACTTGGCAAGATCTTTTCTTTTTCTTTTTTTCTTTTTTTTTTTTTTAATTTGAGATAGTCTAATAGGTGTGTAGTGTTTTTGAAAGGCCTTCCAGGGGTATCACTGACCTGGGAACAACTATTTACATGGATTTCTTCATATGGGGTTTCTGGCATTATATATATGATATTTTTTAGTCCAAACCTGTTTTGTGGTTTACGTTTGGCATATTTTACTTGGGAGATTTGCAAATAAGCTTCCTTATCTTCTTGAATAGCTTTGGTGTTTCTCTAGTTTCATTTCATTGAGCCAGGAAGGGCTTCCTCTCCTTACGTGGGATTAGCACTCAAACTCCTAGCCAACAGAGCTATATACTGACTTAGATCTAGTTTCAGATTCCTCTTAGATTTTTACTGCTTGGAATTTCCAAGGCTTATTTGCAAGCATGGTCACAAAGCAATGATTAAAATACATTTTTAAAAAATATATAAAATGCATTATTTCTCTGTGTTTGAAACAGAAGTTGAGTACAGTGGTACTGAAACCAGAACTCTTTGGTTAGCATAGTACTGTGATTAATATGTGTGGTTCCGATATTCTGAATTGCAAAGCTGAGAGTATTTCCTATAGAAATCTTGTTTTCATGGTGCTCACAGGCTGCTGTAACAATAGTACAGCTATATTATAGATTACATACACTTGTATGCTGACTTAAGAGTTGAGCCACAGGGAAATGGTTACTGAATTCCAGACAACTGAATTACAAGTAAAATTTTGAAAGCAACGAGTTTGTGAGTTAAGTACTGCCTATGTTGAATTTGTGTTGATGGTGTCAATGCATGTGTTTATGTGTGTGTGTGTGTATGTGTATGTGTGTATCTGTGTGTAATTGTACATATAAATAATATGTATCATAAGTTTTAAAATTTTATATTGGTACTTACCTTTTTTATGTTTTGGTAACAAAAGTCTTACAGGAAAGAAGGATTTTATTTCCCCAACATTCTCTAGCTAAATGTGGGTAGTAAACTTGGTATCTTCCTCCTACGTCTTATGTTTGACATTTTTAATGTGATTAAATATATACTACTAAGTTACAGGACAAAACTTACTAATTTATTTTAAGGACTTAAAGCATTATTCATTCCCAAATTATTTGTATTTCTGAAAAGATGCCTATTTGGGGAAACGTTTAGCTCAATGTTTCACAAAATGTAATGCACATATCACTAGGCAATAGTTCAGGTTATTTTGGGTGGTACACAGGCCCTTGTAGCTAACACATGAATTTCATGAAAATCATTGCTTAGGAAGATACTAAATACAAAAATGGGTCAAATAAAAATTACTATTAAAAGTAGGATAGATGGAACATGAATATGACAAAAATCATTACAGTCATACTCAATCTTTGAAAACTAGGAAACACTGATTTTTATGGAAAAGATTTACTTTTTAATAGCAAAGTTCAGATATCCATTACTTAGCTGAGATAACATTTCTAAGGAGAGAGACTCTCCAATGCTGTCTTCAAATTATAGTGTGTAGACAGCCCTTTTCTTCTTGAGAGTCCTAGCTGGGCTTTGGAGATCAGGATCACACAGTCAGAGCTGGGTGTGGAATGGGTGGTCTGTTCCTGACCTTCTCTTCATCGGCATCAGTAATCAATAATGGAAATAAAAGTCATTCCTCTTTGACAGATTAACACTGGATACATGGCCATTTCAATCTGTAATGACTACCGTCCCTAACTGATGGGGAAGTACCCTTCCCATAGCTCTGGAAGAACATGTCATTCAAATTTGTATCATTATAAATCCATGTTGCGATATGATCAGTTTCCTCAAATCTAAGAATGATGACTGTATACACTTCTTCCCTTCTCTGCATTTCCAGGATTCTCTCAACATGAGGCCCTCCCTGCAGGTGGTGGCTCTCTGGGGAAAGAAGGCCCCTTCCCACAGCATCACTGCCATCATGATCACCGATGACCAGCAAACCATTGTGACCGGAAGTCAAGAGGGTCAGCTCTGTCTCTGGAATCTATCACCTGAACTAAAGGTTACTGAAAACTATTCATATTGAAACAGACAATGCTCACAAAATGAGCATAGCTTGCTTCTTCTATCTGCAATGACAGTGGAAGGTTTGCATGATTTGTCAGGGAGATACTAAAGTCATAAATTGGTTTTACTTCTGGATTTGGAGAAAATGAGGTATTACATGGTGGATCAAGACCATATCTGAAAATTATATTATGGATATTGCTAATCTTAGCTACTAGCTAAGTATTATCACCCTTTAAGCTATGCTGAGTTTTAATGTTTCGTATCCTGAATTATGTGTTTAAGTAACTGAACTACAGACATGTAAGTATAATTCTAAAAATTATGGCTCATTAATCTAAACAAAGGGCACCCTTGAAACCCACTATTAACTAAATGAGTAATATCTTAATTACCTTGGTGTTTCTGTCAGGTTGGCCTTCTCGCTATTCTTTTAGTCTCCGCTTGCTTGTGATTTTTACAGATCACATCAGAAAGCTCTAAATCCAATTTACTATTGTCGCCCTCCTATTTCAGAACCTGACCTCACCTAGGATTTGGCCCATTGATTAGCAATTAATTGTCCCTGTCCCAAGTCATAAACATTTAACATATTGGAATAGATATTTGCTTAGCCCTAGCAGCCTCTAGACCCAATTTGAACATTTAAACTAATGATGTACTTAAAGTCTACTGCCCTCATTAAGAAGCCTTTTAAAAATCAAAGACTGTTTTTAGCCTTTAAAGTTTGTCACTTTAAAGCCTAAATTAACAATTAATTGTAATTCTGTTTTATAGTGTAATTAGTTAACATCTCCCAGCACTGAGCAGTTCCACTACAGGACTGCCAAGAACTGCATGGCAAGGCAGCTCAGCTCAATGTGCAGGAATATCCTGAAAGAGGGAATTGGCATTATTGCAACAGTTGAGCTTTGAAAATGGTGGTCTTCACATTTATTATCTCTTATAGTTTAAACCCAGACCCTTAAATGGCTTAAAATGCCTTGCTACTCTTTTTAATGCTGAAGTGTAGTGCTTTCTGGCTGGAATAGTTAGTTGCCTTCTCATATGTAGGCTGCTATCAGCTTAAGAAATTTTGAATCCTAGCCTCTGTATCTTTTTAGATATGTCCTGATAGTTATTGAATATATATTTATTGAGTGGGTATTATAAGTTAGGCGGTACGTTAGGTACCTGAGTTCAAACACGAATGAGAAGACCTGGTACAGGCCACCCAACAGCTTGCAGTAAGGAAGGACTGAGGCTAATGCACTGTGGTTATGTGGTAATGCAAGGTATTGGAAGGAGGGAGTGGTCTGTACTGCATCTTTAGTGGGAGAAGTTATGCCACACTTTTGTCAGAAGCAAGTCCTTCGATTGGGGTTAGAGCAGTGGTTCTTAACAGAGAGTGATTTTCTCTCCCAAGAAACATTTGGTAATGTTTGCAGACACTTTTGGTTCTTACACCTGGAGGAAGGAGGATGCTACTGGCATCAAGAGGGCAGAGGCCAGGGATGCTATAACCATCCTATTGTGTACACGACAGCCCTTCACAACAAAGAGTTATCCATCCAAAATGCCAACAGTGCTGATAGTGAGAAATCCACAGTGGGAAAATGCAGTGTAGGAATGGAATGCAATCAGCAGGGTGGAAAAAACTAGGGGAACCATTGAGATTTAGGTAGGGGGCTGGATTAGTTTCGAGCTTTGGAAATTTACTATGAGGACATTGTGAACAAGTTAATAACATGAATGAGATATCGATAAGTAGAAATGTGAGATTTTCCACATGAGGGTGCTTCTTAACATTTTCTATGGCTACCACAGGGCCAGAGTGAATGAACATCTTCTCTTATTTTTCCCATGAATCTCGCCTCTCCATGACAATGGATCAATTATTAGCAGGGAAAACTCTAGGCTTTTCAAAAATCATGTGCATTTTTGAGTTCCCAACAAATCTTCCTGCTATGTGTAAGACAGTCGAGTGGTCCATTGTTGATATTTTAATGCTTAGTAGTTTGATTTTTATTTGAAAAATGTGTAAATAAAGGAATAATTTGGACGGGAAGAAGAAGGGAAGCCTTGAAAGCATGGCAGATTGTTAAGAGAGGACATAATTATGTGGGTGACCAAGTAGCTGTTGGACAACTTGAAGCCGAAGAGCATATCAGGGGAGGGCAGCAGGAAGGAAAGAAGGAAGTTTCAGGGGCTGTGGTATAAAGTGACCTGAGAACCATTTGTTTCCTCTTCATACTACATTTGGAAAGCTCCTTCTCCTCTACAAAAAGTTTTAGGTAAGAGAATCCATCGGGTTCTATGGTCTTAAATGCTCACTTGCCACCATGTAAAGTGGAAAAATAAACCTAAGAACACTTACTGATGCAGTCATTAGACAAGTTACACAGATTTGTTTGTTTGTTTGTTTTGTTCTAGGCATAAATCCCTCCTTCAAGTTTCTCAGACTCTAATATACAACACAGACTTGTTAATAGGAAGTGGTAAAGTGATAGAATACTTTCTGTCTCTATGAACATGGCTAATCTATGTATAGCATATAAGTGGAATCATACTGTATTTATCTGTTTGTGACTGGCTTATTTCACTGAGAATGATGTCCTTATAGTTCATCTGTATTGTAGTCAGAATGTCTTTCACTTTGAAGGCTGTATTGTAGTCAGAATGTCTTTCACTTTGAAGGCTGAAAAATATTCTATTGTATGTATATACCACATTTTGTTTATTCACTCATGTGTCAACAGGCACTTGGGTTGCTTCCATCTTTGGTCTAATCCAAATGATGCTGCTATGAGTCTGGATGTACAAATATATGTTTGAGGCCCTGCCTTCACTTCTTTGGGGTATATATTCAAAAAGTAGGATTTCTATATCATATCATAGTTCTATTTTAAATTTTTGGAGGAACTACCAAACTGGTTTACATAGCAGTTGCACCATTTTATATTCCCACCAGCAGTGTGCAAGGGTTCCAATTTCAACATCTTCACCAACAGTTACTATTGGATAAGTCATGGTATATTTTTTCTGGTTTTCGTTGCAAAAATGCATCATGACTTTTCCGACAACCCAATATTTTCTGTTTTGTTTGTTTTGTAATAACTATCCTAATCAGTGTGAAGTGGTATCTCATTGTGGTTTTGAAGAGAAAGGCTTTCTGAGGGTGATGTTTGAGCTGAGTTCTAAAGGACTCACAGGATTTGAACAGGAAAAGATGGTGGGAGGAGACTGCAGACAGGGAATAAGTGTGCGTGTGTGAAAAACATGAATATTTTGCCTTCAGGTAACTGGTAAAAGTAGTTGAGCAGGACTGGAACATAGGGGGTAAGTTGAAGGTGAGAGGCATATTTGGAAAAGATGGAGCAGACACAATAGGGAATCTGACATGCTGAGGTTTTTTTGTTTGTTTGTTTTTTATTAACTGGCAAGAGCTAACACTACATGCTAATTAAAAGTGGTGTTATTGGGCTGGCTGAGTAGCACATTGGTTAAGAGCTGGCTTGGGATGCCAGAGGGCCCTGGTTCGAATCCCACATATGAGGGCCAGTGACACTGCCCTCTGCAGCTAAGATGCTGAACAACAGCTCAACCTGGAGCTGGGCTGCCGTGAGTTGCTGGTGGCGGCATAGGCTGCAGCCCCTGCTGCAGTGGGTTGCCATGGGCTACCACGTGTAGCCAGCAGCCAGCGTGAGTGGCCAGCAGCCACCGTGAGTGGCCATCCAGAAGCCGGCGACTGATCTGCCTCGCCCGGGAAGAGCGCAATGATGGTGCCAACTTGGGCCAGTGAAGCAATGTCCTCCACAACTAGACTGAAGAACAAAAGGACAGCAACTTGTCTGTTCCCCTTCCCCCAATTCCCCAGCACTGTTCCCATCCCCCAATTCCCCAATAAAATCTTAAAAAAAAAAAGTGGTGTTATTAAGGGATTTGAGGATGTCCTATGCAAGATGACATAACACTATTTTATTATATTTATGATTCAGACTATCACTGGGTGTTAATGTGAAGGGCATAGTGAAAGAAGTGGGAAATGAGATAAGGGACAGGAATTATGGGTAGCAGGCTCCTACAGTACTTTAGTCAAGTAAGTTTTTGAGTGTGAACCAAATCAGTGGCAATGGGACCGAAGAGGAGATGAAACCTGGAAAGCTGTTAAGAAGACAGAATAGACAGAACTGAGCAACAGTTGGATGTGGGGTAAAGGAGCAGGAACAGTCAAGGATACCTTTCAGGTTTGGGCTTTGGATGACGGATGGGACTGGTTGGATAATGGGATCAGATATTTGTATATGGAATAGAGGGGATTAGAGAATAGGGATAGGGAGGGAAAGAAGTTGATTTAAGTTCTGGGCATTTTGGGATATCCACATATTCATCAGAGGACTGGGTATGCATCTCATTCTTGACCTGTCCATGGGTGGTGGGATGGTAGGGTGGCAGGAGGACTGGAGAGAATGTCTCCCTGTGCTGGCCTTCTCATCACATGCCTAGGTTATGCATGTTGCTTCCAGGCTCAGCGTCTGACTCCCAGATCCCTCTAGTTTCCCCAGAACTTTGTGAGGTCTACCAACGAGTTGCTTCTCCAAGTCCCATGCTAGGAACTGCCTCACTTGGGTCTCCGGGAATTGATTGCTGGTATTTATCATACCTTTAAGCATAGAAAAGATGAGTTGAACATCCTCTCAGATATGTTCCCTTAGTATTGGAATGTTCTATTTTCTTCCTGCTTAATACTCAGAAAGAAACATGCCAATGACAAAATGAAGAATATTGATGTTGTGTAGAAAGAAAGAGTGGAGCTATCTGGGTCAAGTTCTAGCTCTGATATTTACCAACTCTGTGTTATTGGACAAATGATTTATATTCTTTGAACCTCAGTTTCCTCACCTGTGAAATAGTGATTAAACACTGTTCATAGTTGCACAAGTACCAGGAACACAGTAGATGCTTGTCAACTTGCGTGTTCTTTTCCCTTTCCCATTTGTGCTATTGGAAGTACCTAGGGTGGGGGACCCACACTTCATAGAGGTAGAGCCAATGAAAAGAAGTAAATGTCTCCTGGATTTCATCATAACAATGACTAGGCGTGATTGTAGAACATTTTTGTGATTCTTCACAGCATTTCTAAAATATGATAAAATGAGGAGACTATAGTGAATTGTCACAGCTAAATCAACTACATGTGGGGACTTCATATGAAAGGCAATGGTGTGCCATTCAGATATTTTGTCCATAGTGGATTTTCTCTGGAGGAGGGAATGTCCTTGATGTGCCCCATTTCATTTCTTAATTTGGCCTGTAATATATTGGAAATGGGGTTAAATTCATAGGCATGTGCATTCTCAAGTGTGATGATGGGGAAACATATCATGTTGTTCTGAGACGGAATCTTCTGGATTTCTCAGGAGAAAGGTAGAGAGTCAAAACTTGAGTTGTAGGTGATTCTAACCAACCACAAAGTCCTCATTGTAGCATTAGACATTTAGTCTAACAGACTTTTTAAAGAAATATTTCTGGTTATGATAGAACTAAAATGAAGGCAGGCCCCAATAAAAATCTTTAAAAAAAATTAAAAATAAAAAAAAATAAAATGAAAGCAGGGAGCAAATATGTGTCCTCACTGAGATGGTTGGGTTATCATCTACATACATTTGTGTTTTCATAGTTGAGAAAGAAACAATTTATTTGAAAATTAGATTTTTATGACTCATTACACTCATTTTATTAATCACAAGTTTTCTAGTTACTTAAATTAAATTTTTAGTCCCTTATGACAACCCCTTCTTCATTTTAGGGAACCTTGCATGTTTTCTGTTTTGTAGTTTGATTTTTATCATCTTGTTTTACAAAATAATGAGGAATAGACTTCTTTCACAAATGAGATAATGGAATGATTATCCCTTAGTTCCATATTTTAAATTCACAGATTGGAGAAAAGCACTGGCATTTTAAATAATAGATCACTTGCAATTTTATTTTTAACACAGAAAAGTTACTTATAACTATTTCAGAGGCAAGAAGCCAAATAAGGTATTATAATGGTTACAAAAGAATCTTTTCTTTGTGCTTTATAAACTCATTTCTGAATTCTGAAATTTGCATATTAATATTCTACTATCATTTGAGGCACATTGGTGCATAATAAATGTCAACACTGACTTTTATATTTAAAACCTAGGTGTTGTAAAACAGGTCTGGCCGACTTCTAGGTTTCATGATAGATATAAAACCAAAAACAAACACATAAAATTTGTACAACACAATTCCTTTATATAGAAGTTTATTATTCTGCGGGTTTTGATATGCCATATGTCAGTTTTCCTGAAACTTATGTTGTATTATGCAAAAATATAATATAACAGGATTTCCTTATGATAATTATGAATATACCAGGGGGGCGCCAAAAAAATGTATATAAGTGGACACTGTGGTCAGCATTGCTCAAGCAGTAGTTCGCCGTAATCAGAAGTGTCTGGACGCTGATGGTAACCACTTTGAGCACTTCTTATAATTGCAGAAGTCAAACGTGACTGTATTCATCTTTTGTTATCAGTATATATTATTACCATTTTAACGCAATTTTCCTTTCTTAAATGTGTGTACATTTTTGTGGCACCTGTGTATATGTAATGTCATGTTTATATTTTCAGCTAAAAAGTTTAAAAGCTTACCCTCATCATTTTCAGATTTCAGCAAAAGAACTCCTGTTTGGTCATTCGGCTTCAGTAACATGTTTGGCAAGAGCGAGAGACTTCTCTAAACAGCCCTATGTCATCAGTGCTGCTGAAAATGGGTAGGTGCAGTGTGCAGAACTTTGTACCTGTCTCCATTTTCTCTCCATTTTTAAAAACTGACGGGATACAGAATTCTAGGGCCGAAGGAAACCTTGGTGATTATCATGTTCCTTTGACATATAGGAAAATTTAGATCTTGCATAGTTGAGTAATTTGTATGATGGTCCCAAGGAATGTAATTAATACTGACTCCTAATATTTAAACATCCCAATGTGTATCGGGCTTTGTGGCAGCCTCATGGTGTAAAGGATACTGGCAAATGTTGTCTATTATAGAACTGAAAATGGAAAAGTCTGGGTGCTTGTCTTTTTTCATGTAGTAACTCACAGTGAGCTTTTAAGCAAACCCAGCCAAACCTTCATAGTCTTGTGAAACAATTCAATAGTTGCAATCCTCATGTTGTGCACTTGTCTGAAATTATAAAACAAACAGAGGAGAGGGAGAGAATTTAATTTTAAGTGGAATGGGGGGCGGAGAGAGAAGGGAAAGGGACACAGAGAGTGTTTTGGGGGCTGTTTCATGGACGTGAAGTTTGTTTCGATGAAAGAGAATTAGCTGTAGGAAAAAGTCCCACTGATGGAAGGGCTACTAGGAAAACTATACTCCACTGATGAGTTACTTGCCAAAGTACACTCAGGAATGTAGAATCGAGTTAGCATGTATTTGTAAATGAAGGATTGGGTTACTGGTTGAAAAAATAGAACCCTTCTTTTGTTTTTAATCTGAGGAGAAATTATATGGCTGTGAATTCTGAGAACCAAAAGAACGAGTAATCAAGTGTCCACCTTGTAGAAACTAAATATTTTATAATAAAATGGCTACAGGAATTGATATCAAAGAAGTACCTATTCCCATAGCTTATTCCAAAGCCATAATTGTTATACTCAGATTGAATTTTGAATAAGCCTAAAGTGAAATGTTCTAGCACATTCTTTTTTAACACTGGCCAATAGCTTCCATACAAGAGGGATGCCACAAAGCCTGCAACCCATGCTGAAATATTTATTCCCACTCCAACGAATTAGGGTGATGGTGAATTTTTCTCTGAGACTACTTGGAGAATTGAGAAAAGTAATAGCTAAGTGAAAAATAGATCTGAAAAGTAACTGAGTTCCAGCTTGAAGTTTTGGTCCACAGTGGTCTAGCTCCAGAAAAAAATATAGAGTTAATGGATATGTTCTTGATGATAGATTAATTTAGCTGTATGAGCACTATAGTGTGATTGTTAAACAGCCAAGAAGGCTGGTTTGGTCTTCCTTTTCCAATATGATTTGAATTTTCTAGAACTGTGCTCCCTTTGGTGTCCAAAACTTGGTCTGCACCTATAATATACTCCTTTTAGCCACTGTGTACTTAGCATATTCTAATTTAATCTGCTGGAAATGGTTAAATTTACTAGGCTTGGCCTCTTTTCCCCCAAACAACAATGATTTTTTTTTTTTTTTTTTAGTTTTCAAAAGTCCCAGGAAATGACTGTGGGTTTTGCATGTCTGCTTCCAAGATAATCAGAGGTGACTCAAAATTGCCTCATGACTCAGTTTTTCACTTGTTCCCCAAAGTATTGTGTAGGCATAAATGTGTCTGCATAAATCCTAAGAGTCAGGAATCCCAGTAAACTTTAGGATAAATGAAAGGAAATAAACACTTGGAGACCTGATGATGAAATGACACAATGCTAAAAAAAAAAAAAAAAGAAGATTCTGAAAGTGGTCAGTGGGAAAAAGCATTGTTTACAAAAGAATGTTAAATAAACTGAGAGCTGACTTCTCAAAAGTAAAATGAAACTACACAGAGCAGGGAATTATCTTCAAAAGGCTGAGAGTAAATATCTGTCAACTTAGAATTACATCTCAAGCGAAATATCTTTAAAATACGAAGACAAAATAGCAACATTTGAGACAAATACTAATAAAACTTCTAATCACTGCCAACAGACCCTCTATAAATAACAAAATTTTAAATTCTTCATTAAGAACGATTTCAGAAGGAAAATCTAAGATGGAAGAAGGAATAGTGAACAAAACCCAGCAAATACTTAAAACATTTAAATAAACACAGACTACAAGATGCTATAATGTTTATAGACACTTCCCATCCCCACCCTACTCCCACACAATCCTAATCGACAGTTGTATGTAATAGTGTATTCCACGTGTTCTGGTTTTTCAGAGGTGGGTAAAGATGCTGACTAACTTTAGACTTTTAAGAGAGATGTACATGGTGACATTTCCAGGGTAGCTGCTAAAAGAACAGATAAAAGAAAAAAAAATAATAAAATAAATAGAATATATAACTTCTAACTTAAAGAAAGAAAAAAAATGTTTAATTTGAAGACAAAAATAAATGTGACAATTAGAAAGCACAGAATAAGATCATTGAAATAACTGAATAAAACAGAAATCTAAATTATATGAAGGGACTAAGCCTTCCAGTTAAATTACAGAGAGTTGCAGACAAAAAAACAAACAAACAAGCAAAAAACCAAAACAACAAAAACAAAAACAAAAACATAAAGATATGAAAAAGTTAAAAGTAAGTAGATGGGGAAAGCTTTATTAGATGAATACTAACCAAAATAAGGTTGATATAGCTGTATTCAAATTTTATGTTAAATACATCTAGTTAATAAAATTTTAAGGCAAAAAGTTTTGGGATTGATAAAGAGGGTGTTTCACTTATTAATAAAACTTTCAGTAACCAGCAAGAGATAATACTAGAGAGATAAGCAGGCACCCAGTCTTGGAGGCTTGTTGGACAGTGTTCCTCAAACCTGAGCTTATGTCATATCACCTGCAGAGCTTTTTAAAATGCAAATGTCTGGACATCATTCCTGGAGGTATGGGTTCAGTTAGTCTGGGCTGCGGTGCAAGGATTTACATTTCTAACACTTTCCTGGACAGTGCTGATGCTACTGGTTCAGAAAACATATTTGGAGTAGCAAGTCCCCAACATTTAGGGCAGTGAGGTCAAGAACGACTTGGCAAACCCATTAGTGATGATACCACTCAATGAGAATAGGGTACAAAGGAGGACGGATGTTGTGTTTGATTTTGAACACGAGAAGTGTGAAGTCCTGCAAGTCATCCAGGTGGAGACATCTGATAGTTGCATATGGAAATCTAGAGCTCAATGAATAGCTGTGGGCTTCCAACATCATGTAGATGGTACCTGAAGTCATGGGAGTAAATAACTCAGCTAGGGAGTGTGAAGTGTGAGAATGTAAGAATGCCAAAAACAAAAATCTAAGGAAAGCCAACATTTAAGAAACAGACAGAAGAGGAACCTGAGAATGCCAAAGAAAATCCAAAAGTATAGTGCAAGACAAGAGAAATCAGAGTTTGAAGAATGTAATGGATTTCCAATTCAAGATGGCAAATGAAACATTCATGTTTATCTCCTCTCCCTGTAGACACTTCACTAAAATTTGAGTAAAGCAATAGAAATGTTATAGGCACACAAATAGAGTAGGAATGGGACTAAGAGAAAATAGTGTATTTCTGAATGAGAGAGGATTGATCGATTTATCCATTGAATGAATTTTTATTGAGGTGTTGAGGTGAGGACATACAGTTGAATAAGAAAAAAAGGCCCTTTCTCAAAAGGAACTTTTGGTGGGCATTTAAGAACTTTCTATAATTTTATATGTTGTAGATATTTGCCTCTGTTTTTCTTTTCATTGAAATAAAAAAGTTAAAATTTTTTTAAATTTTAAATATTGTCACATCTATTTTTTTATAATTAAAAGTGACTTTGGCTGGCCGAGTGGCTCAGTTGGTTAAGAGTTTGCTTAAAAGCATGAACTCTGCGCAACAGGGTTGCTGGTTCGATTCCCACGTGGGCCAGTGAGCTTTGCCCAAGCTGCGCACAAGCTGAGCTGCCACCAGGTGGCAGGATGGCTCAGCTAGTGAGAGCACGTGCTCCTAACAACAAGATTGCCTGTTCGAGATGGTGGGCTATGCCCACCCTCAACTAAAGACTGAACTCGGCACCTTAAGCTGAGCTGCTGCCTGGGTGGCTCAGGGGATAGAGCACGTGCTCTTAAGAAGGCTGCTGGGTTCGACTCCCACATGGGATGGTGGCTACACCCACTTGCAACTAAGACTGAACTCGGCACCTTGAGCTGAGCTGCCACCCGGATGGCTCAGTGGATAGAGCGTGCGCTCTTAACAACAAGGCTTCCCAGTTCAACTCCCGCACGGAAAAAAAAAAGTGATTTAATCTATGCACAAATGAGGAACAGTACTTGAAAAAAATAATATGCATTTTAATAATTTTCATTTTTTCTTATTCTGTAACTTGGACAGTCCCAGCTAAAATGTCAATGCTACTTTTGATACAAAACAAATTTGCTTTTTTTTCTTAAATAGAATTGATAGGCAAAAAATCTTTCTGTTTTGTGATATTTTTATATTTTTTCATATCAAAATAGAAAGTAAGATAAGCAAAAAAACAGGGAAAGCATTAGAATTCAAGAGAGTCTAGAAACATAAATATTACTGGGGGAACTTTTTTTTTTTCAGGCTCCAACCCTGGAAAATGTGACTTAATGTCTGGGTCGGGTCCCAGATATCAGTGTTTTTTAAAAGCGCTCTGATAATTCTAATATAAAGCCAGAGTTTAGAACCACTAGTCTGAGATAGACTTACCTAGAAACAGCTTAAGTGACCAGGAGCTTTTCAAAACCCCACATGTGAGGATCCCAAAAGAGATCCATGGAATTAGAATCTTTGGGGATAATTTCTGAAATATGCACAGGTGATTGTTGATGCACAGCTAGAGCTGAGAACCATGCTGATAAACTCAAATCCCTTATAGAGATAAAATGTTATATTGATGACTGCTTAAGATTCATTTTATTTTACTTTTGACGTATATTACTTTACCTTTGAGATACATTATTTGAATTTCTACATGTCTCTCAGTCTTCTCTCTCTCTCTCTCTCTCTCTCTCTCTCTCTCTCTCTCTCTCTCTCTCTCTC